CCGCTCGGCCAGCTTCGACTTTCAGCACGGCTCAGCCGAGCCGATGCATATGCGTTCGGCTCGGCCGAGCCGCTCGGCCTTGATCGGGAGCTGTACAGGCTATTGTGAATCGCCCGTACAGCACCCCTTCGGTTCTACTGAACCGAAGGGGTCCTGGGGCCGAAGCTAGCCGAAGGATCGGCCGAAGCTATGGCCAGATCCTTCGGCAGCTTCGTGAATAGGCCCCTAAGGGATAAACACATATTAGCTAAACCTTCTTGACCTAAATACAAAAAAAAGTTCAGGGAACAACATGTTATCAATGTCCTGGGAATAACCCTTTTATCAATAGGTCTGTCTGCCTTTTCAGAGTGGCCTCCTGAATAGGAACCTCTTATGCATATATGCACTATTGGACGTTACCTATCGGATTGGTTATGGAGCCGCATGCTCAGTGGGACTTCTCTTGTCCACTTGTGCTTGTAATTTTTCATTGCTTGGCAGCTATATGCCTACTGAGGCACACATCCACAAGTGACCTAATTGCATGTTCTTTCTTTGTGGCTGTCTATTTTCCCACTGTTGCTCTGGAAAGTGGCAAAGTGGGTTAATTTTAAGGACATTTTACCCCTTTATTCTACTTATGGTAAACCTGTGCAAGGCGATGCAACAGGTTTATTTTAAGGTAGCCATCATCATCAGCATAAACTTTTCATTCCATACTATACTTTCTCTCTTTCACCACTCCGTTCATATTTAGGCACAAAGAAAAGGCCTATGTAAGCTATGAGTCCCTAGAGGTAAAACATACATAGGGCTATGGACTCCCAGTGTGGATGCGTTGAGTGGCCCAGCACTGTCACATGGAGAAAGCTAAATATATCTCCGTTCTTGGAACCACAGAGTATTTCTTACAGCTGCTGGTGGTGGAAACAGTGGCGAGAGGGACAACTAATGGTAAGTATATGCTCGAAAGCAGTCATGGATTGAAACAAACCTGCTGCTTTGCTCTGAATGGGCAAAGTAAAGATCTGCTTTAAAGGTGAGAACCCTTTAGCGTTATCAGGAGAAAACTGGCATAGCAGCCTAGTAATACTTCCTAAACATGCTGAGTTATTTCTCTTGGATGCAGAACAGCAGCAAAAGTATTTAGTGTCAAAGTAGAACATTTCTGAATATCTCCACAGGTAAAATTCCCAGTTAGGGGACATCCACAGGTGACAATGCACAGAGAGATGAGAAATTTGGCTTTTTTTTGTTAAGAGGGGAAAAACCTCTTAAATGTTGATACAAAAAAGAAGAAACTGGGGGCGCATGCGCGCGGCTGCCGATGACGGGTGGTAAGT